ATACGACAATAACGCTGCGGTCCGAGACGGGTGACACATTATAGGTAATAATATTGCGGTATTAAATCGGAAACAAAAAAATAAAAAAATCCGGACGTACTTATCGCGTACTTATGTACGTCACCGTCACGCACTAGTATATCATATAGGTGGGAAGTTTGAACGGTACGCGGGATACAGGGTAGTTTAATTGATCGACATTTAACGAAAATAAATCATTGCAATCGAAAAACCGATTTTGCAGCAGCGGCGTAATATTAGAATAGATAGTGTTTTAGATTCTGAACATAGCGAGGAATGTCTGTATAGGTAACTAATGGTTTTAGATTCTGAGTGGAGCGAGGAATGTATTGGTTTTACAATGGTGTTTTTATTTATTTGTATTAAATACACAAATATTCATAAGGCCTTCTAGCAACATCTAAATGAATTCAATTGTAATTTTTCAAATTATCTGCAGACCATATTAAACCCTTTGAATCTGTGGAGAAGATACAAATTAACCTAACTCTAAAGGCTATGAAATAGTATTTAGGGAAAATGTTGACGCTTAATAAAATATCTATACGTATTAAATAATATTTGAGATTTTGATAAATCGAGTAAATAAAAATGTGTGAACGTTTTAGATATTGAGTTTGTGGTTATGAACAATATTATACTATTTGAAATCATTAAATTTCAAAATAAGGGAGAGAAAAGTTATCCTAACATTTTTTTTTTCACTACAATAAACAGATTTAAAGAAGATTAGTTTTCATGAATTATCCCCGACCACCCCGGGCTTTGAATATTGAACGTTCAAGTGGGTGCCGCGTGCTTCGCCCTCATGTCTAGTCACGTGTCGATTTCGGAACTATAGCCTTTTCGGGGGGAAAAAAAAAATTATAATTAAACGATACAACACGAGTATAAAACGATTTTTGAAACATATGTTTTGTGTGGTACACATTATTGATAATATGAGTTTGGTTTGAGTAAACTAGTAAATTTATTTCAGTCTGTGCAAAATAATACGATATTATAATAAAAAATGTTTAATACGATCGATAATCATTAACCGTAAAATCTCACTTTTTTTTCTTCTAAAACAATAATTGGAAAAAAAATACAATTTCTGACTGACAGCAATGAAAACTGAATATTGATAAAAATATATATTTTTTTTTTACATAATAATAAATCGGGCTACTAGAAATACACGTATTTTTGTAATGGTTCCTATTGGACTGCTGTAGACTGTCAGCCTGTGTTTGACTGACATTATCTCTCGTCGTGACCGCGATATAATACAAAAAGAAAACGTACAGACAAAAAAGTGATAAGCTCTTTGAAAATGTTTTTTAGTTAATTAAAACAAACGCTGCAGCAGCACAGATCTTTTCAGATTCATTATGCTTTTTAACTGCACACAATATATAGTATAATATTGTTGTATTAAGTATAAACTGTATTATTATGAATTTCAACACAAAATTATAATATTATAGTATATTATAATTAATGCCAGCGTCCGTTAATATTATTGTTATCAATTTTGTATTTAGTATATCACGATCATAATCATTACTTTTCTATTTACGTAATATAATAATTATAATATTATACTATAATTACTTTGGCCGAGTTGAATGTAAAATAATATACTTTAAATTTAATTTGTGTACTCATTAAGCTTTCCGCGTGCGCTGTATTGAATGAAAAAAACAAAAATTCAAACACGCCTATAACTAAAAATTAACCGATATCACAATGCATCAAAATACATTTCTCTAATGCAATGCCTATAATATTGTTGTTGTAAAATATATTTTTATCAACAATGAACAAAAATTTAACGATAAAAGTAATCAAACTGGGTGAACAGACGCCATCAGGTACACAATAATAATAATTATTATTATAATGGGTACATTAAACAATTTAAGATGTAAAAAATTTTATAAATAAAATAACATTACACAATACACTAAAAGTTGGCAAAAACCTAAACGTTATAGAATCGCATTTAATAATATGTGGTAAGCGGGTGTGATTCGATTCCTAAATGTGTTAGGAAGGCGAGTAGAGTTTTTTTTAACCGAGCATTAGTCAGAAACGTATCATAGCAATAATAATAATAATAATAATAAACTTTATTGCGAAAATACAATACAATACAAAAAAAATGGACATACTTCGTACATGGGTGTAGTTAAGTTGGGAAAGTGATAGAGGGGAAATTTAGCGTATATCTGTAAGCAACGAATAACCATTGCTAACGAAGAAACAATTCTGAGCGAAGTTTAGTTGCTAGTGTAGATTTGTCAACAGTATATGTCAAATTATGGTATTTTCTTCAATAATATTTGTTTAGTATTGTACCTATTTCTCCGTTCTCCCGGTTTTCCCATATTTTTGCTATTTATTGAAAAAACTATTGAAAAATCAAAAAAAAATGACCTCATAATCTAAAAGCACGTAGAATATATAATGTTTTAGTACCTATGTTTTTTTTTTTGTTTTTGTATATGTCAAATATATTTTCTACCAGATATCATGCCTCAATACCGACCCTGCGCCAGTACTCTTTTAGGACTTTAATACGAGGTGAAAGTACTCTACATACTATTCCTGGTCAACAACTGCATATATGCGAAATTCCAATTTAATCCATTCAGTAGTTTAGGCGAGAAGTGATGAAAACATACATACATTTAAACAACTTTCGCATATATAATACTATTAGGATTTAGTCAATTTATACATACAAATATACTTATATTACAAATTAAAAAAAAAAAAAACATAATAATACTAATATTAGTCCTAGAGATTTTTTTTTTTCAGGATATCTATATTTTGTCTACGAAATATTTTCAGTGGAGATATTTTGACCGGTTATTATTATTTCTGCCTGACATCGTGATTATAATAATATATGGTTGCGTGAACATTATAGGTATTTAGTACCTATCTATAGTTGTTACGAATCTTAAATTGACATCGCCATAAATGTCATTCATACATAGTTGATGTCGTTTTGAAATTAGCGTGTACATATATTTTCTGGTGGAAAGTTAATTTGTTTTTAAAAGTGGCTTTTGTTTCTACTAAAATTAACCATAATATGCCTGTTAAAAATATATGTAGTGTTGCGGAGTTTGCGGTGTACCTACATCCGTATAGTAATATAGTATATAAGTACCTATACGTATATATATAGACTTCTTGGATAATTCGTTGTCACAAAAAAATATTCAACAAAGATTCATAATTATATTACAGATTTACGTGTTTGTCATATTATCTACTATACATTCTTGAAATTAAGGTGACCCCGAGCTAGAAATTAACCAATAATGAGCGATCATTTCTAACTATCATCACTACCGTCAAGGGAGAAAAGGAACAACTGTCAAACTAAAGTGTGCTAAAACATCCATCTGATATTCCCGACGATATTGAAAAATACGCCATTTTCCGATATTAATTATCGATAACTTGTTCTGATCCAATATTCAATTTAAAATTTAGAAACAATTACACTAAGCAACTATACTGATGACATACGTGCGCGATAGTGTGAAATCGTAGAACGCGAAAAATTTAAAATCGATTTAGTTTAAGTTTTAAAATTATATACAATTGAATTTAACGATGATACGTTTTTACAAAGTTATAGAAGTCGTATGAAATGCAATTTATTAAAATGAAAATAACACATTATATTATTGGATGAAAGTTATAATCTTCTCAAAATAAAACATTCTCAGTGTAGTGGCTATAATTATTATTTTACGGTTTGAAAACGAAAAAATTACTAACATTTTAAACGAGGAACACCCGACATCTATCTTATTGTACGTATTATAATTAAACCAATGTAACGGTTACCTACTATACAGATATATTGAGAATTGAAATCGTTTAACATATTCATTTTGAACGAGAGGAAGTAACATTCTTTTTTGAACCCAGATTTATTAATATTTTTTTTAAAGTCTGAGCAGAAGAGCGAATAAATATTACGGCCTTTCAATTCATGTTCAAACGTACTTTACTCAGAACAGAGCAGGAAAGGTTCCTTTTAAAAAGAAATTCGTTCCCGTTCCTCATTCATAAAAGGAACTTATTCTAGTTCTTCTTTCCTTAAAAAAAGAACTCATTCCTTTAAGCGTTCCTTTTTTTTTTTTTTTTAATTACGCATATTACATATTCATAAAAAAAAAAGATACCGGAGACGGGTGCAGCTACTATTGACGGTGGGAAGTTGAGAAGGTAGAATAACTAAAATTGGAAACTATTTTTACTTCTTGAAATCTACATGTTAAAAATCGTAATAAATTATATAAAATTAATTTCCTAGTTCCTACCCTAAAAAATGAAAAATGAAAAAACAAGTTACTTGAAAAAAAAATGCATCATCAATTTACTTAAAATTCAAAATATAATATTTTATTAAATATACAAACTAAAAAAAATTATTACACTGACAACGATATCAATATTATCATTTGTAAATTTGACTTTTGTCATTATCAAATAAGTTATATTATTTATTACCAATTTAAACCATTTTAAACCATTATCACCGAGATACCGTTTATATCACGGTTATATATTACAACTAAATTAGTAAATGACGAAGGGATACCAACACTAAACAATTTCTAAACAATATTGTCACTAAAATAACATGCGATTCACTTTTTTTGCCTATTAGAAGGAAGTGAAAATTGCATTCACGTTCAACATAAGTAGGAACTCTTTCCTGTTCTTCATTCCTATACTTAAAAAGAAACACGTCCTTTCTTAATACTGGCTCATAATCGTTTTTCGTTAGCAATGGTTTATCTTTGCTTACAGAAATAAATTAAATAACTTTATCTAGGTATCTTACATTCCCATCTATAATAGTAGGTATCATACCGGTATCTCCGGTATCAGTTTTTTTTTTACGTTTACTATTATACCTATGTCATCGATTAACTTAATAACGAATAGTTTAGTAAGCGACGATGACTTTAAAAAATTGTAAACAAATGTTTAATGCTTTACCTGGTGCATCCGGCGACATCACGGAAGACATTACAGTGCAATTACTCTTTTCGGTGGTACCTCAAGACCAGTTTTTCAAGCACAGCACGGGTCGCGGAAACGTATACGACACAATCGGTGAACTGGTGAAAATCTGAAGCTACACTAACGAACTAAATCTATTGCATTCACGGAGTCGGATTGTTCGGAAAGCATTATGGGAATGTAATTTTCCGAACAATTTTAAGCACCTATGCATGGGAATAACTATTTATCTATATTAATTGAACATCGAATAATTGGATTATCTATAGGACAATTGATTGCTACCTACATGACGCACTAAATCAAGCCCCGATTATATAATATACTTTTATGAAAAGTAACGGATTTTGCGAAATATGTAAAATCGGAGTTGTGCCGACGACAAACAGTTTATTTTTAAAACGAACAAATAGAATTAGGCGAACGGACGGGAAAACGGCAGTTCATCGTGCGGTCGATCAAAATATAAACGCCGAATTCGCATGGGTTATTCGAAAAGTGATTTCACCACCAATTCGATCGTTTCGAACTTTCGCCGTGTACCCAACCGAATCGGGCACGCACAAAATTTGTAATAACGAACACGACGGATACGGGAGTTCGGATCATTCGCGGCCGGGTGAATGAACTGTTCGGAAAGTTCGGCTGTTGTCGGCGTTTCGCCATTGACGTCACTGCCGAGTGTCGTTTTCGGCGAACCGGCGTGGCGGCGACGGAAACGAAAGTGCGCGGCCGTCTTTGACCAATCGCAAGAGCCCCGGGACTAAAGAAACGCATCGTTTTGCAAACCGATTCGCCGACGCGTCGCGAAAATTGGTAACGCTGAGAGTCAACGTCGACCGGCGACCAGGGGGCCTGGTAAGTGACTGGCCACACTGATTTTAACGTTTAATGTTAACGGTGTACCGGGGCACGGGAAACGCCAGTGATTTTTTCATCGGAAAGCCGTTGCGAGTTTTCGGGCGTTCGCAATATTATATAATACAGCGTGAATATCGTGTGTGCGTTACTAACGTGCACACACCACCGAACGAAAATATCGCCGCGACGATCGTTTGTCACGGACGCAAGAAACAGCAACTGGACGTGCAGGCGAGCGACGGCGCGGAAAATAATACTATCGGTGAGTAGGTGCCTACCTAATACATATTCCAGCGGACATTTTTCATGACTCTCCGTAGTGCACTTTAGTGTGACTCTTCCGTAGTACACGATCGTACAAGAATTTCGTCGGTACTAACCAAATGCGAATTCGGTTGGAGCCGAGTGTGAATTTGAGAAATTTTTCGGAGTAACCGGCGTTAAAATTAACGACGCTGGTTTAATTTTTCTGCACCATCGCGTGCACGTGGCGCAAACTATTTACACCGGTTTCATCCCCTCTCATTTCCCCCTAGAAATAATAAACGATAATAATAATAATAATAATAGTTTAATCGATAACAATTAATGTCTATTCAAATTAATTCGTTTCAAGTACTTATTAGCGGGAAATGGGAAGTATAGTATATCGGTAATACACTCGCTAAAAATTTAAACAATTGATTAATATTTAATTGATAGTATTGTCATTGTTAGTTTTGGACACTGGTGGGGATACACCGATTTCCATCGTCGAATCTATGCCGGTGTAAAATAATCGGTACCAGTGACGGTAAACCGCTACAAAAATGTGTCGGTACACCGGTTTGTAACCCAAAGCGACGCGGTTCGGTTCTCGGCAACGGGCGACATTTGAATGCTGACACGGAGTAAACCCACCGTAGGCCTCTGGTCGGGGTCGGTGTTCGCGGGACGCTTTTCCGAGAAGTACGAATACGTACCTACATAGACTGTATCTATTTTCGGAAACCGTGAATTCGCGATTATTTAAAAATATATATATCATACTAGCTGTACCGCGCCCGACGTTGCCCGTGCCAATTTTAGATTCTGAGTGGAGTGAAGAAACTTGTGGTTTTACAAAGGTGTTTATTTATTTATTTATTTATTTTTTTTTATTCCCGTCAAAACCGAAAAAAACGGGAAAATTTACGAAATATAATAAATATAATGTTACGATTTTTTTTTTTTTCTGCAGACAACTTTTCTACCAGCAATTTTGCTCCAACTAAATGTGTTTTATTGTGAAATTTTAATAGTGTAAACAATAGTAATAATAATAATTATAATAGTTTTCATTTCCGTAACACCAAAGTAACCCTTGAATAAACATAAATAAATAAATAAGCGATTAGATATTCGTACTATATATACCAAAAAAAAAAAAAACCATTATTTTACCCTCTTAAGGGTTGAATTTTCAAAAATCATTTCTCAACTGGTGCCCACGTCATAATAGCTATGTGTGTGTCAAATTTCAGCCCGATACGTCCAGTGATTTAGGCTAGGCGATGATAAATCAGTCAGTCAGGACATGTTATTTAATATAGACTACTCTAAAAACCGATAAAATAAACGATAAATTGTAATATTCTTACTGTTATTACTGTTTATACACACTTATAATCATATTGCTTATTATAGATGTCTATAGAAATCCCCGAAACATAATAGTGAATCCGCCCGACGTTCGCCTCTCGATCACGTCGTCGACGGTCTGCCGAAATTCGGTTCGTCGACCTCCAATCTCAGCCGACGACTTTTCCGAGAAATCGATTTTCGGACACGCGACCAAAATATAGTGGCATCATTAAATATTATTATGAAAACGAAAACTAAATAATATTATGTTGTATACAGAGTGTTGAAGACCGCGGGCGCGCGGTTCGCCGTGATTTCATTATACCGCGGTTGACCGGTCGGCGGTCAGTCGATTATCAATGACCAGGATTCGGAAGTAACTTAAGCGTTTGCGTGTTAATTTTGGTGACACTTTCTGAGAATTCTGAGTGAAAAACAAATTTGTTTCGTACTTCACATAATGTCATTGCAGAATTTTTCGTTGCTATTTTTTTTTTCCGCGTATTTAGGACTCACCGAGCTATTTTGCTAATTTAACTTTTTTCGCTTTGATTTTCAAACAGTACGAATAAGCGCATCCGAAAATAAAAAAACACGGTCGTATTCGGTTTTTGTCACCGATCTCGTTTCCAATTGTGTAATTTTTTTGAACAAATGCGTCAATCGCACCGTAGGTACTGACATTACTAGCCGCTTTAATTTCGGAAAATTATATTTAGCATATTTTCCAATTTCGAGTGCTATATTTATAGCACATATTTTGAAAATGTTAAGTGCAGAAATAAACCTTTACTTCCGATCCCTGTTAATTACCTATCGGCCGCGCACTCACGCATATATTTGAATTACACATTTTCAAAAATGGCTCTTTTGTCAAAACTTTTGCTGAAAACTAAAATAATCTTTGTAACACAAAAACCAATTTTCTGTTGAACGATTTTTAACTTATAATGTTTTCAAAAATTACACCATTATAATATTATAACAGAGTAATTTTAAATTTTGTGTTATATTATAATGTTATACAATAACGTATTGTCCATAATTTATTATGGAACATTATATAAACGTAAAATTGTATTGAAAACACGACCGTTAAAGTTTTACGAAACGAGTCTTTACGAAATTCATCCAAGGACGTAATGTAGTATTGAACGGAATTTCTCTGGGGAGGCTCACATTTTTTTCATTGGTCATTTCGATGTAAATTGGAAAAAGTAATGAGCACTATATATTTAATAAATACATTTTGTTGACGGTTATTGTATTTTTTATGGGGGGGCGGGGAGGAGCGAATGAAATTCTAGAGGAAGCGTATACCTCCAACCCCCCCCCCGGAGTATGCTTTGATTCGACACTGGTCGTGAAACGTGTTTATTTTTAACCGGAATCAAGATATCTGCGCGTGATACACGATATTATAATCCGATAAAATCAATATTGTTTGCGTATTTGTATAAAAATCCGCGCCCTAGTGACGATATTATTATAACGTTCGCGCGGCGGTTACGGCGGAATCGATCGGTTTCACGCAGTTATTTTGTTCGGACTGTGTGGTTATCGACGATCGAAATCTACTCGCGGGACGCGCCGCGGACAGAGTTAAACGGCAGATAAAAGAACACGCGGAGGAGCGCGCGTGCGGCTTCTGCCGGTGACGCTGTTTTAAACGTAAAACTAAATTGAGATTAATATCTGTATATATTATACAAAGTGCAGGAGGGGGTGCGTGTCGGGAATAACTGCATGCAATTAACTGTACCTAAAGCGGCTACCCATTTTTATTTTTTTTTTTTTTCATTTGACTACTATATCATGTACAGGGTGATAATAATGATTATCGCAGCGACAATATTATTCACGATCTACACCGCGGACCTGCTTGCGCGCGTGAACCGCAGACGATTCACACGATTCACACGATGCGCGCATTGTGTGTAATTGTATTACAATAGAATTAATATATTATAATCGACGAAAACGATCGAAATAATGTCGTGTTTATTTTAACACCGAAGACACGTGTTTCGGTTTTACAATATTGCAATATGTTTCAACAAAAGATTAATCTGTGACGTCGTAAAACAAAATAATAAAAAATTTAAGTACCAATTATAGCGCTGTTCTAGTTTCGTTTGAACGTTTATTTATTTTATTTTTTTCAAACTAAACCCTAAACCGTATGTTATGGAAGTTAATCTTGCGGACGGGGCCGGTCGGCGCGGGTAATTTTCGTCAACGCAAAACAAATTCAAAAGTTTTAGCCAATACACTTTATTCGTGACGGTTCCCCTTGCAGTTTGCAGTGCAGGAGAAAGCGTCTTATTGAATTTTAATTTTGTCAGTAAGCGAAAACTATAATATCGAGTACAAAGAAAACACACACGAAATTTGTGTAGGTATGATATAGAACGTATCATATTATAATTATTGTAGAAAATACCTACTGTGTAGGATTTTCCGGTACCAAACATAGCGAATAGTTCAAACAGGTTTGAAAAACGAAACGAAACAACAATATTCGAGTGTACAGCAGGTATATACGGCACACTCTGTATAATACGCTCGGGTCAATATTGTTTTGGTGCACGCAGACCCAACACTTATACGAACGTATAATATACATACGTATATTATGTATGTACACGCG